ATGTCACAAAACGCCCGTTGACTGATTGTAAGAATGAGATAGCTAAGTCTAAATTTTCTTTTTAGCACATCACTCCTGGGTCACCAAAAAAATGCGCAAAATCGAACTCCTCCTCTTCCAATGCATTAAAAAAAAAAAAAAAGTTATTATTTCATACCTAAAAAAACAAAACAAACTTTCATCTTGATTCTTTGTCAATCGGAAACACCAGTTAGGTATTCTTAAGTGCGCTGGACGGGACTAATTTAGGTTCATTTTCGTGAAATTATTTTCGGCAAAATTAAAACCTAATTACCTTCCATGAGGACGAAATTTTACTGAGCCACTTTTTTCCTTCTTCTTCTTGGGATTCCTCGGCAAAAAACATACTGCCTTGGTAAAAATTGGCAGTAGAATCTGTGTTCCAAAATACCATAGACCTACAGCCGGCTGTAAGATTTCCAATAGCTTCTATAGCCGGCTACACAATTTCTTATGGCCTTGTATAGCCGATAGCGATTAAGCAACAGCCAGGCGATAAAGTGTATGCTAAACGTTACTAATTACGGATGCTAGGACTTAGTGAGTTTTTGGACTACTGCCCTCTTTTTAGGCCGTAGTATCTTGATTTATTTTGCGAGGAAAGCTCCGTACTTTTGATGGATGCCTGCCATTCCTAATATATTAGAGCGCCTTCAGTTTCGTATGATACTGTGGAATACCTCTGGTGTGAAATAGTTGCTTCAAGCGCCGTGGCACGCTGCGGCGCGGCAGGCGGGCAGCTAACGCAAAACGCGCTTTGGCGCCTACAAACCTAACAGGGATACTTGACGCGTTGCGCAATGCGTGAAGTATCCCTGTTAGGTTTGTAGGCGCCAGTGCGTCGCCGCTCCGCTTTGTGTTGGACTCTAATATTTAATCTGGCGGAGTCAGCGTTTTCAATTCATGATTTTGAGATGTTTGCACATCCTGTCTGGATTGTTCTCATTATAATTGCTGAAAAAAATATGTATCAAAGGAAAATATAATATGTGTTTTGTAAATATTACGGTGGTTCCGTATCAAACTTAATGATTTCCAAAGCACACGAATTTCTATTAGCCTATTATAATCGATGGCGAAAAAGCAACAGCCAGGCGATAAAGTGTAAAGCCCGGCGATAGGAACCATAGCCCGGCTGCATAATTTTTTATCGCTTCGAATAGCCCGGCCGTACGATTTTCTCCGCATTCTACAGCCAGCTATATGATTCCTGTAGCCTTGCCGGCTATAAGAATTCCTGTAGTATTTTGAAACGCAGCTATTATCGCCAATTCTTACCAGGGCGGATATGCCATCACGATCATGTAATACTAAAGGCATGAGAAATAAACGGTATGGACTCGGATCATCTTTTCGTCGTCTCCCGGACGAAAAAACGTAACTCCATTCCAAGGTTGCCAAATTGACTCAGGCAATTAATTTTTTGCACACACAATGTATCTGTGCAAATTTTTTCCAAAATATTTCTGATTTTTGCGAGAGGTCTGAGGAAAAATTAGTGAAATTTTCAGTAAAAATGCTCAATATTCTCTTGGTTGATGCGCAATTTGCGAGGGGAAATTTGACAACATTGAAATAGAATAGAGTTACGTTCCTGCGTGAGGGAAACGAAGTTTTGTTAGGGGAAAAAGGATGAAATTTTACTTGTAAGTAATCGTAAAGGAAAAACTCTTTTTGTAAAAATGTTTGCTGTAAGGAGAGGTGACTTACGACTATGGAATGGATGGCGCCAATCCTGGCGCAGGCCAGCATCGCAACGACGAGCTCCAGGATCATGGGCATGTAGATCGCTACCCGATCCCCTTTTTCGACCCCTCGAGCTTTGAGCACATTGCCGAATTTGCACACTTCCTGCAGCAACTTCTTGTAAGTGAGCCGACTGTAGTCCTCTGGGTCATTTCCCTCCCTGCAACAAAATGAAAACCGAAATTAATAAGAGCCAAAAAAAATCCACTTATTTGCACACTGACGTCCGCACTTCAAGAAAATGAGTACGGCACTCATTTTTCCAGGGGCGAGGGACAGACCCAACAGATTGGGGTTAGGAGACAAGATGCAACTATTTAGACTCTAAGGTCTTCTGTGCGGTATCCATCCACATTGAAGGCGCTCTCAACCTTTCTTGCTTCCTTATGCCGCTTCCGATTCAAAACCCGCGTTGCAGAGTTAAATATCTAATTAATAGAGCAGGGCCGGATTTACCTCCTTGCCGCCCACAGACCGCCTGTATTTTGCCGCCCCCTTCTCATTCGTTTTGAAACACATTAAAAACCATCAAGTGAACGTGCCGGAGGGGAGGGGCGCATAAGACGCGTTTACTCGTGTTGGACACATTTTTTGGGAAAGCCCCGTGACACTACTACCAAAAGTTGACGGAAGTTTAGGCGAAAGTTAAGTTCCGCAAATCTACCTCTGTGCGGACAGAGCCCTCCATTTATAATAAATGAACGAAGAAATTATGAAAGAACGAACATAAATGTGGTTTAATAATTTTAACATCCGCCGCCGCGCCAACCGCACCGTGTTTGACGCAATGCGTGAAGTATTCATGCAGTCTTGTAGGCGCTCTGCGTTTCACGCTGACCGCAATGACCGCACTGTGTGTGATGCAATGCGTGAAGTATTCATGTACTCTTGTAGGCGCTAATATGTGTTACATGCCGACCGCCGCGTCGAGGGCTTCTCCTTTTCATCTTATATACTCTCGGGGATTGACAAATTTTGTCGCCTTTTCTTGCTTGTAATTTTCTTTTTTAAATCCGATTTTTTTATGCCTACATTTAAAAAAATTGCAAAATTTGCCGCCTCCTAGATTTGTCGCCATGGGCCGCAGCCCATGTGACCACCCCCTAAATCCGGCCCTGTAGTAGAGTATATCTAAATAGTATATCTTAATAGAGTATTATCTATTAATAGAGTGCCTATCTTTCATGCGTCTTACTTTCGTTACAACGATGGACATAATGCAAAATCACACATCATGAGAGATGCGTTCCTTTTTCGCGTGCAATCAGATGAGGAAGATAAAGATAAACTTCACGCCCTTTGATAGTAATTACCCCGACACTTATCAAAGTCCTGTCCTCTTCCTATCAGCGAGGAAAAGTTGGCGAAACTTCCGCGAGTAAATAGCATATAACCACGTGATAAGAGAGAACATGCATATTTTATTCCCAATCTCTTGAGGTATCAAAACAGTAAAGGTCATTCATAAATCCAATATTCGCGCGCTAAAAGTTCATACCCAATATTAGGATGCAAATAGACGCAGAAGCATATTCAAGAGGGGATGGGAGGAGGGGAGGACCCAATGGTCCAATGCCCCTTCCCCATGGGTATTTTCTTCTCCTTCTTTTTTATGAACAGGGAAACACGTAGAAAATCAATCTCATTGTCAGTGTAAATGATGATCTACATGAGAGGGAACCGTGTGTTGCATGGTCATTACAAAAATTCGTACCATATCAAAAACTCGATCTATTGCTATCTTTGTTTATTTATCTTCCTACCTTGAGCCCTTGGGTATATTTCTCGAGTAGAAAGCTTGGAGACCAATATTTAATAAAACGCACGCTTTTTCTGGAATAAAAAGATTGAGATGGTGACACTTTTTCCGAGGCGCGTACTCTAACTAATTTTAAGTTCAGATCATAAAATAGGTCTGCTGCAAACATTTGCCGAAAGATTAGGTTCTCCTAGAAAAAGGATTAAAATTGACAATAGGACAATCGATTCTAGGAGAGGCCTAGAATCGATAAAGTCAATGGATTTCAATGGAGGATAAACAGTGGTGCCAACCCAAGTAGTAGTGATCGCGATAAATAGCGACTTAATCGGTTGGTTGTCGCGATTATATCGGTGGCAATAGATCGAGATATTATTGCATTAAAAATCGCGATATATGGCGATTAAGTTGCTACACATCGCAATTTTTGGTTCGATAAAATCGCGATCAATTTTCGTCGATAATATTGAGATTAAATCGCCATTTATCGCGATTTTTATTTCGGAAATATCGCGATAAATTGCTGGGTGGTAAAAGCGCGATTTTATCCCGATAAGATCGAGGATAATCGCTCAGATGTTGATGATCCTAGCAGTTTTATCGCCGATAAAATTGCAATATATCCCGATTTTTCCGTTGAAAAATGCTACTTGAAAACTTGCAAAATCGCCACTGGCATACAAGTATTGTGGTCCATAATTTATTATCCTGTCTAGTAGTCCATTCGCTATAACTGCGCTTGTGGTCTGATTATTGAAATTGATGGACAATGCAACAGACAAAGGCGATACGCGATTCTATTGAAGGAAGCGGGTGGTTGCAATGGACAAAGTAGGTAAGTAATAGACTAACTAACGGCAACCCGCGAGAGACCCGATAGTCGCAGTCCATCATTTCCCCCTTAGTCTATGACAACTACCTACCCGTAGGTAACCAATAGGATCGCTTCGTGTTCTCTAAGTCTTCTTTGTCTATCGATATGTCTATCAATTTCAATAATCAGTCCGCTGGGCAATTTGTTTCCTCACACCGCATCGCGTTGTCTGCCCGACGAGTTAGTTTTTCGCAAATCCGGCTTTTATCTCACCGTAGGTCGAATCATGTGTTGTAGGTCATTCGTCCTATTCAGTGGCGTGGCGTGATCGATAAACAGGGTGTTCGCAGCGAACACCTTGATAATCGATTCTTTACCATAGCTTCAAATGGAAAAATATCGATAATCGATCATTCGCGCCACGCCACTAGTCTTATTTTCTCGGACGCGACGGGGTGACCCACCTTTAGGTCTAATGACGCGTCTTCAATGCTTGATCTGCCGTGCTGAGGAAAAACGCCATAAGCACAGACAGATGTTGCCAAATGTCCTTTGATAAAATAGGAATTTTCTAGGAAATTGGAGAATTTTTTCTCCGAATTTCTCAGGGAATTTTATTCGCGATTAGACCCAAATTATCTGGAAATTTCGAGAGAAAACATTCACCAGAACACGCATTTTCAAGGATGGAAAAATTTACTGATTATTTTCTTGGATGCATTTTGGCAAGACGCCATCTTCAGCGAGAATTTTTTTTCACAAAACACAAAAAATTTTCTTGCTGAAGATGGCATCTTGCCGAAATGCATACAAGAAAATAAACAGTTAATTTTCCCAGCATCTTTTAAAACGCGCGTTCTGATAAACATTTTATTCCTTTATTTTATTTTATTAACAGCACGCAAAATGCGATTCTCCAGTTATAGAAAATACTCATGTCTCTCGTTATAAATAAGCATTGTATCGGAGAAAATTCGGCAACCCCTGAAAACTCATAAAGGCGTTTTTTCTGGCAGTGATTATGCTCGTCATTAACTGGACTGTTACGAAATCGAAGATGAGAGAAGCTTGACGAGAAAAAGTCATCGAGGAGAATTCCGAAAAAATTTATTCTTCAAAAAAAAAAAAATAAATCTGGGTTCCCTTTTACTAGACCCTTCTAACTAGATCTAAATGTTTGGGTCCCGAAGTAACTTTTGCTTTATCTGTTTAGAGCGCTCCTTGCATAGGCTTGGTCATATACTGGTGCGAGGTGTCCACGTACTGACCTTCAACTGACACTAAACACGATAAGTCACTCAAAACCCTCGATTGTCTCCGAGGCTGGACGAGGCCCCTTTATCCCTTTCACTCTCCCCGTCGCACAATGGATCGAGTCAATTAGAGAGGTCGGACATAAAATTTTTGACTGAAACAGCAACATTTGATGTTTATTTCGTCACATTTTAAATTTCAAGGGGTGCCTCCTGAAGAAAATGCCACGAGGAAACCAATGAAACCACTTTTAGAACCTCAAAGTTTTGTATAAACGATGTTATAAGCGTTTAAAGTTTCCGAATTTTGTCCGACCTCTCCTATTAACTCGATCCATTGTGCGTCGCTCGCCTTTCTTGTTCCTTTTTCGCGGTCGATATTTACGGCTGAAGCGCGAAACCACGTGTCTCACTTTACGACGTCGCAGACTTCCATTCATACTTTTTTTTCTTAGGAAGACTAAAGTCGTCGTAATTTCTTGAAAACTTCGTTGATTTTGCCTCTTTGTTAGAGGAATATTCCGTGTGAATTTCAAGCATTAAAGGTGGCTTGTTTCTCTTCAAAAATTTAAAATAGGAGGGAGGATTTTTAAACACCGGAATGAAGATACGTGGTTTTGTACTTTGGCCATCGATTTGCTTTGGATAGGCTTCATAACCGTGGACTAACGACCTCGATCACACCCATAAACTTCAGGATCAAAGGTCTGAAATGCGATCCTTTCACAGGATGCCAATTCCGTATGCATCGAGGTTTTTAAAGTCATTCGTGGAGTGTTCAAATCTCGGTAAAAGACTCATTTAAAGGTCTCAATCGTAGCGACAGTATTTGCAAGACAAATTTGAATATTTAATGCATAACATTTTTACAAAATAAGAAAATTTTCAAAAACAGCATAGAAAAAACAACAGTAAAACGATTTTCATCTAAATATAAAAGACACGAACGGAGATTTGCAACGTCGCAAGCGGAGATACAATTTTTTCTACTATAGGAAGCGTTATCCACTTTCAATGATATCAATAGGAATGAATCGATGCTAACGCCCGCAATGCCGTGCTAAGGAAAAACGCGTTATGAGCCTTCAGACGTTGCCAAATTTCCTTTGATAAAACGCGTATTTCCTGGTAAACTTATGAATATTTTCTCCTGATTTTTCGGATAATTTTGTTCGCAATTTCAGCGAAAGATTTTGAAAATTTAAAGGAAAAATATTCATAATTTTCCTCAAAAATAAAAATTTTATCGAAAGAAATTTGGCAACTCTCGAATGCTCACGGCGTTGTTCCTTAGCACAGCAGCATAACATTGCTACCTATCTGTGACGAACGTC